CATAACGAAATTTAACACAAAACGGGGAAATTGGGCAACCCTAACGATAGCCGCTTGTTGTCGGAAAGCTATCCGACAGATCACTGTAGATCCTGACGCGGCATGTTGTGTTCCTGTATAGAGCAGGTAACATGTTCACCTATTTTGTCGGAACGCCTTTCCGCGCAAGTATTTCGAACAGAATGCATCGGTCTATTGAATCGAACGCACTCTTGAAGTCGAGGAATACAGCCATTGTCAGTCTACCTTATGCGTGGCGCTGCTCTAGCATTTGCCGCAGAGTGAGTATATGGTCTATACAGCCACGTCTTGGGCGTAAACCTGTTTGCTCTTCCCTAATCCGGAATACGCGTTCCGCAGTGAGGCGATGAACGAGAATAGAGGCTAATAATTTGGTTACAACTGGCGTTAGGCTGTAGTTAGCACAGTGGGTTCAACTGTTTTTCTTGAATATCGCCACTATCGTTGAATCACTCCAGTTACCTGGGATCGCCTCTGCTTTCCAGACCCGTTCGAACAGGGAAGTCAGTGCTTTGCAGAAGACCACATCACCATCTTTAAATAGTGCGGGTGCGAGGGAATCCAGATTAGCAGCACGAAAGCGATTAAGGACTGCGATCGCGTTTCGGACCTCAGCCCTACGATGGAGCCTCTAACCTAACCGTCCCTGACTCGTAAGAGGTAATGGAGCAGGAGGCCTACTGGAATGATCTTGGAAGTGCTCCGCCCAACGAGCCATACGGGGTTCCTTATTGTGAATCAGCGCACCCGCACTGTATCTGATTGTCTCACTGACGCCTGGTTTTCTAGGACCAGTGGCGCGGATCATTTGGAATGTCTTGCGGTAATTGTCTACTGCTCCTTCTTTCATTTCTTGGACACTGCTAGTCCACCAGGCTTCCTTGTCAGCACCCAGGCTCCGCTTTACGTCGCGCCTAATAGTTAGTTTAGTTACGTTGTGCTCAGATGCAACCGGGAGTTTTCTTCTGGATTCCATCGGGTTCACTGACCTCTCACATATCTAGTGACTGGTGCGGTGACGATTTATAGTGACACAAGCAGATGCTCCTCTATCGTGTATGACGGCCTAGATCCTATTCCACTGAGGCTCAGTGTCATTAGGACAAGACAGCGAAAGTTCGGTACGCAGTGCGTCTCCATAGGCCTACCTGACAATTTCTCAGTTGCCAATCGAAGGAGACGCTTGGTGCGCCTCCCGGTAATGTTCAGTGAGAAACGACAACGTACTAAGGCATGATCACATTCGACGCAGGTATTCCAGAACGAGCGGCAATCCAGGATGGAACCACACCACCTGTAACTTATGCAGTGTGATCAATTTGGGTCCATCGCTGGCCAGCTACAGGAAGGCCAAGTGCAAGCCAATAGTAACGTTAGATTGCAACCTAGTCTTCGTTATTGGCTAGGTGAGCGTTACAGAAAGTCATCAGCGATAACACTCTGCGTGCAGCTGTCGTACAGGGTCTCCGACTGGCGGGTTTTCCAATAGTAAGCCGGCGACTTCTTTCCGCCCTGCAGCAACCCGTTCTATTAGCACACGATCCACTACTGGTCAAGTACTGGTTCAAGTAGAAATTAGCAACCTGCTCAGTCTGAGAAACAAGATGTGCGAGATGGGTCTGCTTTTAAAAAATCTCGTCCATATATACTTGCTTTCACTGAAATGCGGTTGTCTGAAGAAATCACGGACAGCAAACTCGCTCATTCCAGTTGCTTCGGGCTTATTGTACCCATGCCTATCGTAACGACCAAACGCTGTTGTCGAGGTAACAGTTAGGTAACGATTCCAAATTACTCAAAACAAGGTTAGATCTAAGATCTACGATGCTCAGTTGTTTGCGTTTTGAGGTCGACAAAATCCAGCTCTGGGGTAGCGCTCAAGCGGGTGAAGTACCATAAATCGTCACGCTTCCTGGCTGACAAATGTACAGTAAGGCCTACAGCCGGGTGATCGATCGGCAGAACACAGTTGTTCCGCATTGGAGATAGCATACACTAATGCAGAGTGCAAAAATTGATCTCATGATTGAACAGGAGAACTCAATGTACCAGGATTCGGAACATACTAGTCATTGCCGCTCCGTGAACACGGACTCCGGAGTAGTGGGTCAAAGAAACGGGATAAACATATGCACATACATACAAACACACATAGAAAGAGAGAAAGTGCGTCGGTGCCGAAGGCTCGGATAGCCACTCGTTTGGAAGGGTTATTGTTGGTCAGGGGACTCTCACGCAAAGGGTAAGCACATGTAGACGATCTCGGTATCCACAAAGAGTGACAGGCAATTGTGAGTTGGGAGAATTTCAAACCTAAGACAAGGCCTGTGTGTTTGGTGAGTAGTACTGAAGTGTCTTTGTCTGCGAACCAGATATGTCATGCATAGAACTAGTCTCAAGTGTCCCGGGGTGCTCTTGTCCCGACGAAATTAATCTAACGGAGTCTCGGGTTGCTAAGGAAGCTAAACCCAACTACGGCTTCCGGACGAGATTTTGTTTATCCGAAACTGTCACACGAATTGGCAACAGAACCGATTGGGTCCTTGACTTGTGTATTCCTGAAGTCACTCAACAGCTGACTCCTGAATGGAATGAAACTGTGGTCTGCTCTATTTTCAAGTACGGTAACAAGGACCTATGAGATAAGTATAGGACTGTCGGCTTGACTACTGTAGTGATTAAAGTACTTAAAACTTGGAAGGCCATTTGAGAGAGTTTAAGTTAATTAGTGTCATAAAAATGGATTTTGCGAAGGATTTTCGTGTCTTACGGTTTTACTGGTAGCTCGTGAGAGTTGGGTTGAAGCCGGTAACAGTGGACACATTGTGGACGTGCTATTCTTTTACTTTGTTAAGGCCTTTGGCACCGTCCGCGTTCGCGGTTCGCTGAAATTGTGGTCTTACGGAACATCCGGTCGCGCCCTTCAGTAAGTGGCAGCTTTCCTGGATGGACGGAACAGTTGTACGTGTTGGATACAGTCTTTCGTTTCGAAAACCTGTTCTTAGCGGCGTTTCGCGGGGCTCTCTCCTGGGGTCGCTGCTGTTCGCAGTCTATCTAACTGCCGGCCTTCGAGAATCACAAGCCTGTCTTTTGATCCTAATGTCGCGGGTTCGAGCCTGAGTAAGGGACCGGGCGACCCACGCGCGACTGGTGATAGTTGTGCGGAAGCGAAGTGTCGGTACTGCGTACCGGCGTCCTGCTGATGCCTTTACGTAACTGACTTACTTGAGGAGCTTGAAGTGACATTACTCTTATTTACTGATAACCTACATTTCTGGAATATTGTGATGTCCCTGGTAGTCCTGAGACTCTTACGGGTTCACGATATACTCTGGTCTAACTTGTGGTTTTTGCCGATGTTGTGAGTTGCTTTACTCCTCCCCCTCCCGCTTAGTCTTCCCCTCCAACCACGATCTTAATTATTAGGCATAATATGACTTTCTTTCGTCACAATCGCCGGTTGTTAGCTCTCCGAAACGATGTCCATCCGTAACTGGTGACTCACCCTGCGTGCCTATGTTGCATGTCTTTTTTTCTTTTCTTATGTATTGCGGCACAATGGCTGAGCGGTTCTCCACCTGCGACTAACGTGTATAATGAATGTATGAATGGTTGCCTATCAACCTGGCAAGCTGTTCATTGATGCGTATCGGAGCGGCTGATTCCTCCACGAGTTTTGTGATCGATGGAAGTGAAAATCCTTACGCAACCAATCAGATTGATCTAGGTGTCTTCCATTGTTACACTCGTCACTCAGACACAACAGGAAGAAGGCGGCTAGCAAAGGATACTGGATTTTATGATTTGTCTGACTTACTTTCGAGACCCTAACAGGTGCTATGTTTGTTAAACTCTTCAGCTCTCGTCTGGCCTCATCTGAAATACTGCGTTCAGGTAGTCTGCCCTGCCTTGTCTGGGACATAATGGAGTTCGGTAAAAATTTGCGTCTGGCTACTTGATTGGTTGAAGGGTTACATGACAGATGTGCCGCGAGCGTCTGTTTAGTTTGGATGGGTATCCGATGCATTACCGAAGACTTTGAGGTGACCTGATCCTCACTCTCCGTATCATAACTGGGAAGATTGAGCCCGACTTGTCTTGACTATTTAGCTCTTCCAGGTTGTCTGGTCCCCGCAGTCATCCAGTGAGGCTAAACAAGCTGCGCTCTGGCCGGTTTAGTGCGGAAAATAGTTATCAGTCACTTGAACTCGATTCCAGAGAATCTTGTCATGCAGCCTACGGTTAAGGGGTTCGTGAGTCAATTGGACGTTCCTGAGTGGCAACGCGAAATCTCTTCTCCTGACTATGAATCAGCAGTACGCCGGTACGCAGTACCGATGCTACGCTGCCACACAATCACCACCAATCGCACGCGGGCTAAGGATATTCCAAGAGTCGCCCGGTCCCTACGCAGGCTCGAACCCACGCCCTCTGAATACGAGTCAGGCATGTGATCCTTAAGAGTACGGTCCGGCTCTCCTGACTATATCTATGCCCACCCTTTGATACTATTTTCTGTACTTTGCTTCACTTTGATATTATCTTACATTTATATAACCTATTTTATCTTACATTTTCTTCCTACCTCTTGCTTATTTCACGTGACCGGCACATCAGGGACTGCTAGTTCAGTAAACGTGGGCAGTAACTGTTTGACAGGGGTATGGTTCTGTTGTTTTGTCTTAGATTCATCAAGATCTCTGGGCATCTTAGCAGTTTCTGTCCCAACAATCTGTTCGAGAAGGAACACAAGTTTTTCCTATCGCTCCAGTCCCACCATACTTGAACTTAATCTTTTGTTGAAAAATTTACTTGTATGTGCTCAGTGTCTAAAAGTTCTCTATTTTCTCTAGCAAGCCAAGTCGAACTTCGGTGCAACTTTTCCAATTACCTTGTGCCTCGCCATCACCTCATGGCATCTCACTGGTTACTCTTCTGATCATTACTCATTCTTAATGACGGCTCCTGAGTTTTGAAATATGCAGGCACCAGATAGTCGAACGGATCCAGAAGTTTTAATTAACGGGACATATTTCGTGTCTCGTATATCGGGATGCTGTCGTACGCACATTTTGACATAAACCACTCATTTTTGAGGAAAGATTCGGCCACCATAATCGACAGTCGTACCAGTGAGGAGGGAAAGACTGAATACTTCGTACACTACAGGAATCGTACGTCTCATCGGTTTTCATGAGTCTGTTTTCTTCTCAAGGTGATAGGAGGTTGGATGAGTGGGTTCCTCTCGAACGTATTGATGTTTCTCGTGATCCACTCATGAAAAGACATCCTCCAACCCCTTCTCCCTCCCATGAAGTAGGCCGATTTACCAGGAATCAAAAGCGTCGAATGACCGAATTCCACTCTGCTAGTTCGGTGAGTGCCTTTACTTTTCTGTTATTAACAACCCAAGAAGTTAGCCATGTGCGTGTTGTAACTACTGTCTTTTAGTTGTCGTGCAAGATGGTGAAACGCGTTCATGATTTTTATGCAGGGGAGTTATGTAATTGGTACAGATTCGTCGCTGTTCTTGATGTAAAGCAGTGCCATGTTTATACTGCCCCATGTAGTTTGACTTTAGCTGTTAGCATTTCTATTCCTCTTGCTCGGGTTGTACTGCTGTGCACTAATTTTTTGCCATGAGAAATCATTTGCATACCGGAATTCCATTCATCACTCTAGTGACGTGTAATGGAACCCCATACAAGCATCGGCGATGCGAAAAGCTTCTTATGCTGCCGACCCTTGTAAACTTATCCTATGTTTCCTGAACGTTGTCGAGGAACACACTTGGTTTACCCTTTGCCAAACCGCTTAGGACAAAGCCATAGCAGCTTTTCCCGGCAACTCCCGCTATGTGATGACCTCGACATTACCAAGGTTCCTTCGTTTCTGACAGATACTGCATTCACAAAGTTGTATCTGATTCCTCGAAGTTGAGACTGACTTTATCATAAGAAAAGCCTTTCCGAAGCAGTGCTCCTATTTGCACTAGAATGTGTTTCCAATTCTATTATTTCTGATCGGAAATCAGTCGAATTCAAATGTGTCCGTATGCAGGGTGAACGGTGGTTATTATTAAGCTTACTGGCAAATTAAATCAACTTTACGTCTTGGGTTCTCACATCATTCCTCTTTGTTGCTTACATGTTTTCCGGTAGTTCTGAATCGGGACTAATTAGTCGAGACGGCATAAATCTATTTGCCATATTATGTCTCGACGATATTTCTCTTTAACCTCAGCCGACTGGGTGCGGTCTATGACGCCTTTCTCTGGATGTCTAACGGTAGCCATTTCTATTTTTCATGAATGCACTCACTTTTATTCAGATTCTTGAAGTATACTTGGAACTGACGGAGAAGTCATGGTTTCAGAGTGATTTGGAAATAATTGTTTGGTGCAATTAGGCAACGTTTTACACAAGAGCCTCATCAGGTCACATGAATCAGCACACAGTTATCGTGCTGCTGCTGCATCGCGTAGAATGCATTAATTTATCGCGCTTCATTGATCATCTTCATTTGTTTAGCGTTGCTCACATATGGTGGGGACGTCAGGTGAACAATACTGACTAACGTTTGTGCTGCTCGAATGAAGACCTCTGGCACCGCGCTGGAACGTCTATTGACTTTGAACACCTTAATTTGGTTATTTCATAACCCTTTTGTGTCTCTTGGCCGCCCACTTCGGCTGTTGCTGGGCACAACTGCGGAGGTGACCAGTTGCTGACGTCACATAAAGGCATGTGATCGACCTTGATGTCTCACCGGCTTGGTATTTATCATCTTGTGGACCGGGGCCTTAAGCTGGAATACACCAATATTGGATACCTCATCCGGCATGGCTTAGTCACAGAGTCAGTGGCACTTCTGCATTCGGTTTCCTACACCTGGCTGTTAGTTTTCCGTCTCGAGTAACTTCACTCACTTTTCCTTTACCCATTTTCTATTCTACACTCTGCTTCGTTTTCCTCATCATCCTCGTGTCAGCGAGATACGCCGCATCTCGGTGCCCGGATTATGGCCGTTTAGTTGGACTAAAACTTAAGAGCTGTATTTGGCACATGGCTATATGCAGGACATCGTTGGTTTTTGGCGTTACCATCAGATTCGCGGATATTAATCCATCCTCGACGTTCACTTGCCTCCAAACCTACTGTTGTCAGTCTTGTATTTGTTCATCGCTGTGAGGTTTTTGCCTTTTACCAAAGATATTTTTCCTGCTGTCATTAACCGACACAGTCACTCGAACGCAGATCTCGTGTCTTACACTGTGCTTTCGTGCTGAGCCTCCTTATTTCAGGTGGCGAGTTTGTTATCTTGTCCTAATGCTTATTTTTTACCTCATTTTAATGTCTGCTTGAATAAACTAATAAATTGCAAATGTCTTAAAAGAATGGTGCTTAACTACTTTTTTCTCCATTTTGCATATGTTTCTGTCATTTTCCATTTATCGCGGCCCTGTTGATAATCTACTTATATCATGTGCTAATTTAGCGGCATATCCGTATGGTGTTTTCGACCTATTTTATTGGTTATTTCATTTCATATGATTGGCTGTTGCTTCATATCCCCGGGGTGGCTGCGCTTGCTGTGCATGTTGACAGGGTACTTACCTGTCTGTTACCCACTAACTCGTCCATACTGGCTCCAGGAGACAGCTGGTCGTTGCTGGAGGGGGATGGGGTGCACGGTCCTTGTGGCCGTGCTAGACTCAAAGAGCGGTTCCATGCACTCAGTGTGGAGCGGACTACGGTCCAGCCACCGCCTTGTGTGCGCTTGATTCTCAAATAACGTGGTTGTGTTTGCCTGTGAAGGAGTGTGGGCCGGCTCCGTTGATGAAACATGGCTCCCATCCGCATGCCTCCTGGTCTTATTCCTTCGGGTTTACACTGGATATGGGGTGTTTGGTTGGAGCTGTAGGTGGTGCAGCGCAAGCCACCCATGGTCCCTCTGTAGGCGCAGGCGTCCTGTGGCTGGCCACAGTGACAGGCAAATCCGAAACCGGATGCCGCCAACCATATATATATATATATATATATATATATATATATATATATATATATATATATATATATATATATATATATATACGGTTAGTCTGATGGAAGAAGGCCGATTAGCGTTCATTTACCTACCGTGGCTCCCTTATGGTGAACGCCAGTCATGTACGGTTGTTGTCCCCAACATCCAATAGCCATCCAATGTTTAGCAAAATTCGCAACATGCTACTGCGCGTCCAGAGACATGAATTTTTCTCTCACCTTAGTGGTGCGGACGTATGGAATTCTCGGCAGACGAGTGATTTAGTGCAGGGCTCAGCTGAGGAAAAGCCTAACCTCTAAAGACACACCGACATGAGGCTGTTGATCAGCGAGCGAGCCACAACGTGTTTCCAGCTGTCAGCTAACTTCGCGCTGAGTGCTGAAGGTCATGGCCAACCGTAGGCGTTGGAGCGATCGATGGTTATCGCTGTGTGTCTCGCTGGCTACGCAGCGGTCCGCCTAAGCAAACAAAACTGCCACGTGAATGTGCGCACGTGATGGCAGCTCAGCTGAGGACGAGGTTAGGCATTGCAACTTGTCAATATTATTGAATCACAGGTAATGGAGCACGAGCAGACAATGCAGTCGGGAGCACGTAACGTTCCTGTTACTCAGCGCGCGCTGATTATTCGGCTGTACGGTGAATGCGGTTTAAACGCCGCATCAGCTTCAAGAAAATACAATGCAATGAACGCAGGAATGCGTCCCGTCACCGCCCGGTATGTGCTTAAACTAGTGAAGAAGTTCGAGCAAACTGGGAGTGTGTGTAACATGAAGAGAACCGGACCGCCTCGCACCACCACGGACAACTGTTCAGCTTGCGCTGTAGTCAGTGAAGTGTCAAAAAGTCCCGATCTCAGCATCCGTCGGATCGCACAACACTGTGACACGACCCGATATGCGGTACACCGGATATTACTGGAACGAAAATTTCGGAGATTCCGTGCACTTCAAGTGCAGGTTTTGAACCCATGCGATCCGGAGAAGCGGCATGAATTTTGCCGTTGGTTTCTGGATCACGGGGATATTCGTTCGGTTATCTTTACAGATGAGGCATTGTTTCATCTGCATGGAACAACGAAACATTACTGTTGGGCTACCAGCAACCCACGAAAATTTACCGCATCACGTATGCACCACAGTGTGAAACTGATGGTTTGGGCCGGATTAACAAGCCAGAAAATCTTGGGCCCATATTTCTTTTCCGGGAATGTGACCGGTAGGTTGTTGTTTTGAAGTACTAAAGCCTTATCTTTTCCCAGCATCGTCGTATTTGGAAATGTTGCAGACATTTGTGCTTCCCCAGTTGGAGGCCGAAGGGGCATGCAGTACTAGTTGGTGGCAGCAGGATGGTGCACCCGCACATTCTGCTAAAACGGTGCGTGCTTACCTCACCGACAAATTTGGCCACCATTGGATCGGACGCGGTGGACCAATGGAGTGGCCTGCTCGCTCACCAGATTTGAACCCCATGGACTTTTTCTATGGGGCTATCTGAAGCGGCGAGTGTACAAAACAAGGCCACGTACATTGGACCAGTTGAAAGAAAATATTGTGAACGAATGTCGCGCGATCACGAGGGATACATTGGAGAAAGTGCTCGCCAATTGCCTCAAGCGGTTTCTGCACTGCAAGCAGAATGCCGGCGGACATTTTGAACATATCCTTCACTAGCATAGATGATCGTTCCAATACATTTCTGTTAATATACTTATCCTCTTTCATAAATGTGTTAACGACTAAACTGGTCCGCTGGCAAATGGTGCTAATGATGCGTCCGGTCGGATAGAATTCTTAACGTCCAGGCTGTCGTTGAGCACATAAACAGCGTAGGCACCGAAACGTTCGATGGCTACTTATGGCGGAATCACTGAGTCGCTATGAGCTGAGGTTCGTGCAGCCTTACTGAAAAGCCGACTGTGTTGTTGACTCCGTTTCAGGCTATTGCCTGTGAAGTTGTTATTCGGGATGAGTTGCAGTAGGTGGCAAAATGTGTACGTGGGGTCGTTTCGTATCTGGTAGACTAATATGTGGTCTCCACGTAGCCACCTGTAGCGTCTACTGAAAACTCCGAGTGTTTTTAGTCGCTGCTCGACTATGGTGAGTTTCAAGCGCTACAAGGTCACGGTTTAGCCAAGCGTGCCAAGCCTGGATTACGTATTCCACGTGTTAACGTACGTAGGCATGGAGCATCATAGAGAAGATGAATGAATCCAAACTTTCGAATGCCATCCGTAAGCTAACAACGTGCTGATTACCACTTTTGTATTCTGACTGTCTGGAATAACCGAAGTCGTCCTGCACCAGCACACCGAGGTCAAGTTCCTGAGG